AACCGGAAATCTGAGGTCAAGGGGCCTGCATCTGGGAAGGGCCTTCTTGCTGCATTGTCCCTGGGCAGAAGTCAGAGGAGCAAGAGAGCACAGAGAGACCAAAGGGGGCAAAACTCATTTTTAATCAGAAACCCACTCCTTTGATAATGAGCCCACTCCCACAACAGCAGCATTAACTCCTTCATGAAGGCAAAGCCCTCGTGACCTCATCAGCTCCTAACGGTTCCACCTCTCAGAACTGCTGCACTGGAAATTAAGTTACATGAACTTTGAGGGAAACATTCAAACCAAAGCAGTGTGTCTCTGTCTGTCTATATTTAGGTATCTGTACCTATGTCTCATATCTAAATGTATCTACAGGCAGTTCCTAACTTAGGAAAGTTTGAGTAACAATTTTTCAACTTTTCAGTGGTGTGAAAGCAATACATGCCAGTAAAAACCATACTCTGCAAACGTACACAACTAGTTTTTCACTTCCAGTATTCAACACATTTCATTCCATATGCAACACTGCATTATAAACAGGCTTTGTGTTAGATGATTTTGCCCAACTAATATTAAGAGTGACAAGAATGATTGAAGTAGGCTAAGCTATGATGCTCTGTAGGTTAAATGTACTAAACACATTCCCAGTTTCTGGTATTTTCTGCTTATGATAAGTTTATCAGGACTTAATCCCATTGTAAGTTCAGGAGCATCTGCATCTACATCTGTGTTTATCTGTATCTACGCATCTAGAGCAATGCACCTCTGTCTACGTCTGTATTTGGATCCATGTATCTGCCTGCATATATATCTGTATCTCTATTTGTATCTGTGTATCTGTCTCCATGCATCTATTTGCAGCTATACCTCTGTACATATATCTGTAACCGTATCTGTATCTGTCTCTATACAGAACAAACAGCTACCCTGGCTTCTCCCCAAGGGAGACAAAGATTTTAAATCAGAGACTCCTCTTCTTCCACACACCTGGAGACACTCTCCTTTCCTCGGTGGGGCCAGCACAGAACAGGCCATTTTGAAGGCTCAGGCTAAAGGGCCCCTGACATCCTCGAAGTCCCTGTTCTTTGGCAGAACAGGGTGCCTAGGCTCTGTAGCTTCTGAAAAATCAGGTATTATGGGCTGAACTGTGGCCCCTCAAATTCATATATTAAAGCCCTAAGCCTCTGTACCTAAGAACGAGACCGTATGGTGATAGGTTCCTTAAATAAATAATTACGTTAAAATGAGGTCACTAGGGTGAGCTTTAATCCAATGACTGGCTTAAGACAATCATTTATTTTAAGAGGAGATTTGAAGATACAGACATCCACCAAGGGAAAACCACGTGAGTGAGTACACAGGGAAAGCAAGTTATCTGTGAGCTAAGGAGTGAGGCCTCGGGAGAAACCAACCCTGCTAACACCTCGACCTTGGACTTCCAGCTTCCAAAACCGCGAGAACATAATTTTGTTTAAGCCGCACAGCCTGTGGTCCTGTGTTATGGCAGCCCTAGAGACTGAGGCACCAGGGAACGCCTGCCTACCGGCACGTGCGCATTCTGTGTCACTGGCATCGCAGGGCAAACGGAAAGCCATTTCCCTGCCTTACAGCAGACAACAGTTTGAGAAGGGGCAGTGGGCAGTGTGTGTGGCTGGCGGCAGATGCCTGGTCGGGGCTGTTACGAAGTGGTTCATCTCTGCCCTTTTCTCCTCAACCCGAGGCCCGGCAGGCCCCACAGGGACCCTTTACCGTCTCCTAGATTCTTGCCTCTTGAGGATGAAACCTGCCAGGACACAGGAAAACCGTGTGTCCTAACACAAGCATACAGCTTCCTAAAAGGTTTTAATTTTCAAATTATGCAAGCAATACGTAGGTGTTTTTAGATGCACATCATCTTAAAGCACACGCTCCCCAAACCCAAATGTCTCCTTAGAGAACCATTATTCTGTGTGCTTCTGTCCCGGCATTTTCTTACTCAGTTCTATGTTCACGTGCGAGTGTGTACCCATAGAGAGTGTTCAGCCTTTTACACAAATGAGGTCATGCAGTATGTTATCCCAAAGCCTGCTTTCTCCACCTGGAAATAAGGCTGAGGACTTGCGGTAAATGAGGAATTGACCCCAACGGCACAACCCTGGGATCCTCTGAAGAATAAGAGGACAAGACCGCCACCCTCCACCACGGCACCCCCTGCAGGGGTCGGCTGGAACCCCCATGGTTCCCCCAGACCCAGAGGCTGACACGCCTTCTGCCAAGAGGCAGTTAGTATTTTCGGCTTTGCAGGCCATGCAGTCTTTGCTATAACTATTCAGCTCAGCCGCTGCAGCCTGAAAGCAGCCACAGGCAATGTGCAAATCAACGGACATGGCTGTGTGCCAAGAAAACTTGATCTACAGAAGGAGGCAGCAGGCTACACCTCTGCAGTTTGCTGACCTCCGCACTTGACCCTGGAATCTTTTAAGGCTGCTCTTGCCTCCCTTCTAAACTGCCTGTTGCTACCAACGTCCCAGGAGGGCATGAGGACCTCAAGCCAGCTGCTTGTGAGAATCATCTGGGAGATTCTAAAGGCTATGAAGCTGAAACCTCAGGGGTGGAGCTTAGGCAGGAATTCTTTTAAAGCTTCCCAGGCCTGGGGAAGTGGCTTATGCCTGCAATCCCAGCACTTTGAGGGGCCAAGGCGAGTGGATCACCTGAGGTCAGGAGATCAAGTCCAGCCTGGCCAACAGAGAGAAACCCCATCTCTACTAAAGATACAAACATTAGCTGGGCATGGTGGCACCTGCCTGTAGTCCCAGCTACTCAGGAGGTTGAGGCAGGAGAATTGCTTGAACCTGGGAGGCAGAGGTTGCAGTGAGCCAAGATCACGCCACTGCACTCCAGCTCAGGCGACAGAGGAAAGACTCTGTCTCAGAAAACAAAATAAAAAAACCCCCAGGTAATTCAATAAAGTAATGAATTGGAGGAGGACTCTTTTGTCCTCCAGGATTGAGGGCTGCTGACAAGGAGCGGGGTGGGGTGAGGCCCTGGAGGTAATGTCCCCTCAGGAACGACAAAAGGGACTCTAGTGAAGCTGGGAGACACAGGAGTGCTGGGTTCCTGGTGCTGGGCCCCACCCCATGTGGGTGGTGCAGGAGCCGGGCAGAGCCACCCTAGAACCCCAGCTGTCACTGAGCACGGTCAGACACGAGAGCCAGATGACCTGGGCAGCGTCTGACACACGGGCCTATTCTGCCTGGGCCCTGCGGTTCTCGAGGGCTTAAGTCAGCAGAGAGAAAGGGAGAACAGGGATCAGCAGACTGAATGCGACTTCCCCGTCACACCCTCTGTCACTAAACGCCCTTTAACGCCCCTCCCAGCTGGCCAAGCTCTGGCCAGGAGTTTGATGATTGCAGGGCTGGGAGTCTGTTCCGAAAGCGTTTTTGCATTTCCGTTAACAAAATTAACAGTCCTCCCAGACCTCCAGGGAGCTTGAGAACCTCTCACTAAAGCCTCTGTCACTCTTGAAAGGGTCGAGTTGATGAAGCGAGGGCAGGTGATCCGTAGGCAGCCCCTGGGCACGAGGAGCTGAACCTCCAGACCCAAAGGCGCCCCTCTGCAGCTGCCGGCGATTCCTGAAAGAAGAACCCGCCCTGCTCGGAGCTCTGCAGACGCTGTGAGGGGACTCAGATGCCACAAGCCTCTCCCTTGCGACCTGCTCTGCTTGCACAGAGATTCCCGCCCCTCCACTAGGAGTGCCCCGCTTGATGCCCCGGGGCCCCTGACAGCCCCCACTCAGCCCAGGGAGCTGCTCCAGTTCACTGTGGGGCCCTGGCCCAACCTGCAGACAGGAAGCCTGGGCCAGGATGTGCAGCCAGGGCCCAACCAGCCGAGGCCCTCAGAGAAGGGGACGTGGAGGCGCAGAGAGAAAAGCACAAGCTTTGCTGGGGTCACCCCTCTGACCAGGACCCCACCAGGCCCGCAGCTCCCAGGGTTCACCGGTGCTAACTGCGCAAGGAAGTCATGTGAGGCAGACCTGACCAATCATTCAACTCCGTCCCATTTCCCTGATCGGTTCTGAGACAAGACACACGACTCACCACGGCCACTGAGAACCAGCCCTGGGACTTGCACTGGGACTGCTGGGAAAAAGCCTTCACCTCCATCCCGGGAGGCAGAGAAGATCAAAGAGGAGCCTGATCCCAGCTCACAGGCTCAGGAGCCCCGGGCCCAGCCTCCCCACAGATGGTCCTGACTCAGGAGTGGTAAATCCCTGTCTGTGTATAACTCTGAACTGGGGCCGGGCCGGTGGCTCCCACCTGTAATCCCAGCACTTTGGGAGGCCGAGGAGGGTGGATCACCTGAGGTCAGGAGTTCGAGACCAGCCTGACCAACGTGGAGAAACCCCATCTCTACTAAAAATACAAAATTAGGTGGGCATGGTGGCACGTGCTTGTAATCCCAGCTACTCGGGAGGCTGAGGCAGGACAATCGCTTGAACCTGGGAGGTGGAGGTAGTGGTGAGCCGGGGTTGCACCACTGCACTCCAGCCTGGGCGACAGAACAAGACTCCAACTCAGAAAAACAACAACAAACTCTGAGTTGGGTTTTCTGTTACTTGCAAACCACTGTAACTGTTATGTGTGGCTCCCAGGAGGCCTCTGCTGAGATTCCCCTCTGCAGCCTCGGAGTCCCGGTGACTGCCGAGCAAGGAGCGAGCCCGCGGGTGAGGAGGCGCTGGAGGATGGGGATCACGCCCGTGCTGTTCTCAGGGCGGGTGTGCCTGCATCTGCCACCTCACCTGGAAGAGCCCTGGGGCCTTGAATGGCCCCACCTGGAAAGCTCTGCCTTCCGGAACATTCAGGGAGATAAGGCCCTGAGTCACTGGCCCAGAGAAGCCCTAGTGAGGAGTGACCAAGGAATGACGCCGCCTCCTTCAGAAGCTCCTCAGGGAGCCCTGTGCCATCTCCAGGGCCCCGCGCCCTCTCCTCCTGCCCCTCCCCAGACCTGCTCTGCACCCACAAGGGCAGGAAACGTACCACGATGACAAACAGGGCAGGGGCTACAAAGGCCCAGATGGCGCCACTCCCCAGCGACAGCCAGCAACTGTGGAGGGAAGCAGAGCATAGCTGTGACAACCTCGTTCCGCCCGCCAGCGAACCGTCATTCCAAAGTAGTTGCTAAGGTGCTGCCTTTCTCAGCTACAGGCTCTACCTGGGGCACAGTCATACAACGTTCCTAATCGCTGCAAACATCTTTTTATCCATGATGATCCCACGTCTCATTCTTGGAAAGGATTTTCCAGGTTTGCAGACCAGGACGGCAACTTCTGGAGAGTTTAGCAAAATCCAAAATAGATTTTAATTTCATTGTGAAAGAGAAATAAACCTTCCCTGGGAACTGGCTTTCCTGCAGAGCACTTCCAACAGGACCCAACGGGGCCTGCCCTGAGGGATCCCCGCACTGACGCGGCGACAGCGAGGCCGCGCCTGCCCGTCCCCTCTGCCCTGAGCTCAGGGTGTTACACTCCCTCAGTGCCCTCCGACTCAGAGGAAAGGTTCCAGAAGGCCCTGGTGACTGCTCTGATGTCCTGAGAGGAGGGTCCAGTTTGAGAATCTGGCTTCTGAGAAGTGACCCCCAGAACTCAGGCAAAAAAAGCCAGCTCCTTCACAGTTTCATCTCCAGAGTGTATGGCGCTGCCAAGAGCCTAGGATTCCCTAGGACGTCTCCTCTTCTTGACTCCTGGGACAGTGTTTCCCAGGGCACTGGGGTGCCTTTAATGGGATCTGGACAGGTATGTGGTGCAGTCCTCACTAGCACACAGTGTGGTGTCTCCTCGGGGCTGGCTCAGTTCACTTCCTCAGTGACAGCTCACTGAGTGGCAGGTCAGCCCCAGAGCACATCAAACAGAATCTCATTTAATCCTGTGCTGCCCCTGAGGTGGGTGCTGTGATCACGCCCATCCTACAGATGAGGAATCTCAGCCCGAAAAAGCTCAGGTGACTTCAGAGATCACTGTGGGCACACTGCCGCCCTGTCCTCATTCCTCCCCTGAAGCCCCCCAGCCCAGGAGACAGTAAATGCCCCCAAACAAGTGACAGCAACTGCAAGAGGCTCATTCGTGGCTGCACACCCAGAGCGTGGGGAGGAGAAACCTCTCATCCAGGGATTCAATGTTTTAAAGAAAAACGCACAGCAAGTCTGAATGGTACCTCTGCAAAGGTGCGATTCAAACCAGGCTCTCTGGAGAGTGGGATGCTTCTGCAAAGAGAGAGCCTGTGCTTTCCAGCATTTCCTGCAGAATGGGAAGTCGCTGAGGGGCTCTGAGAGATACCCTATCCTGTTCAGACACCCAGCGAGCTTCCCATACCTGGCTGGTGCTGCCTGGCTTTCGGGCATGAGAACGGGGAAAGGCTTAGATTCGAGTCAGACCCTGGGACTCAGGACTGTGGGTGAGCCCAGCAGCCCCAAGCTCCAGATGGGATAAAAGGGAACAAATGCCATCGAGCTGTTTGAGGAGAACATTCTTCTTCTCATCAGTCCCTCAGCTTGTAACAGCACCCAGGACGAACGTGCAGGCCGGGACCGTGCTCTGCAAAGCCGCTCTGTTCCAGTGTGCGCTCAGACCTGCCTTCTGTAAGTGCTTCGCATTCAGGAAACTCGCACCAAAGCAGAAAAGGCTGGACCTCTCCCGGTGTCACTTCGGCTGTGCTGTTTTCTCATCCCGTGGCTGTGAAAATGCCTGACTTCTCTTCTGTTTGTAAGCATCGTCAACATTTACCTTCCATTTTTTTGCACAGTGATTCTTCAGCTTGGCTAGAATAGGCAGCAGCTTCCAAGAGACATTTATTTGAGTGAAAACTCTTTTTTCTTGTAAGGAATGAAAATCCTATTTCCAGAACTTGAACAGCTGACGTGGTCCCACGGCACCATCCCATCCTCTTCCTGACACATCTGTGGACCCATGAGCTGCATTTCAAGTGGCAACAGGAGACACTGGACATCACAACGTCCATCCCTGCTACCCAAGCAATGGGAGCCTCCAGACCACCTGCCTGGCACCCAGCAGACTGCACCTACTCCAGCATTCATGGACTTGCTCCACTGTCAGTTACTGGGTACACGGTATACACAGGGCCCTTGCTGACCACCCCAAGAAAGGGTGAAAGGGTCACAATTTAGCCTCCAGGGATGACCAGAACTGTGTCTGGGAAGACCACATGGGTGAAAAATTTCCAAGCAGAAACTCCTACCAGCTTCCCTGCTCTTCTTGGAGGTGCTCTGTGGTCTTTGCTGGTTCCAAGGCTGGGAAATCTCCAGGGCACAGCTGGTTGGTTTCTCCCTCTCCCTGGACCATGACTTTCTCACTGGGCGGGCTTGTGAGAGCCAGCTTTGAACAGCACCCCTGCACCCAGAACGGCACAGGAAGGCAAGAGCTATGGGCTCCTCACGGCAACCTGTTCCACGGAAGGCTGCCCACAGCCAGGCAAAGCCCTGCACTTACTTGTTGCTTGTCCCGTAACTGTCCATGGCAAATGACAGTGAAATGATGCAGATGAGAAGAGGGGAACCTGCAGGAGAGCAGAGAGCGTCATGTTTGCCTGCTCCAGTCTTCTTCCTTCCCTCCCTCCCGCCTCCCGCTCTCCCTGGTTTCATTCCTTTCACACCTAATAGATGTATACAGAGAGGGAACTAGGCGCCAATTGTTGGGACACAGAACAGCCCCTATTCTCTAAACAAAGGAGTAACAGACATTCACACCATACTCACATGCTCACACCTATGTCCTAGACAAGAAAGTGTGTGAGTCTTCATTAAAACAGTGTGGGTGAGATGTGGCATTATGATTGGCAGGAAGGGAAGCTCAGCTTGGTGGCTCCACAAGAGACAACTGGCAATGGCTCAAGTCATCTAGGGTTGTCCGAACGGGATGGCATCAGGCAGGCAGAGGCCAGGGGTTCTGCTAAACACCCTCCAATGCACAAGACTGCCCCACAGAGTTACCCAGCCCAAGTGTCCACAGTGTTGGTTGAGAATTCCTGTTCTAGAGCAGTGGGGGAAAGATGGGAGATCAGCTGGGACTGAGGGGACATCAGACATGGCTGACTCTGTCACGTACGGTCTCTGGGGGCAGAGTCCACGCCATGCCTGCCCTTCTTCTAGTATTTGAGCCCATAATTCCCGTAGGGAACCCATCACACTCCATCTTTCCCTGAGGTCCAGCTGGGCTGGTTTCTTCCTGGCTCTTTGGCCTGTGACTCAGGACTGGCTGGCTGGAACATCAAATCCCCCAGCCACAGCTAGTGGTTCAGAGATGAGCATGTGACCCTGGCTGGCCCAGTGAAACTCCATCAAGAGCTTTCTTCGAGACTGCTAAGAAGAAACTCTCTTTTCCACCAAGCCCCTAAAAGGATAAGGATATCAGTAAGCCTGGGGTCCAGGCAGCCATTCTGGCACCATGAGAGACTGCAGGGTTCCAACACAGAGGAGACCACATCTGAGAGATGGAAAAAGACAAAATCGCGATTCTATCACTTACGCTCATGGGTCAAGCCATATCTGAACCCGGACATCTTAGAACTTTTCTGTTATGTGAGCCATTACATTCCCTTTTTGCCTCAGGCAGTTGAAGTTGGATTTCTATGACTTGAAACTTAGTGTGACAAATTAAATGTGTTTAGTATTTTACAAAGCCAACTGAAACTTTGGGGGTGGGGATAGAAGGGAGGTCTGCAAATGAGGGAGGAAGCATCTGGATTACAGAAGTCCCCAGAGCTTTGTCACTCTGCAATGAAAACTCTCTATGGTCAAACTACTTTTTAAAACTGACTTAACCCAAATCTGAACTGGCTTCTACTTTCACTTTTAAAGTGCAGAGGTTTTGTATGCTAATGTGTCCTATGACTGTCCAAAAGGAAGATCACATTGCAACACTTCCCAAGCTCAGCCATCCATGGAGTTTGTCTGGAAACATGACTCTGCTTCCACATGCATATGTGAGCTTTGAAACAGATCCTGCAGAAATGGGAATCTGTTTCTGAAAAGAACATACTTCTGGCTACTCAGAAAGCGGGGCATCGTCCACAGGGACTGCTCTGGTGCAGCCATGCTGAACACAGCAGCCTTCCTCTGCAGGAAGGATGAGAGAGAGAGATGGAGAGAGGCCAGCTCCTTATTCCACCCGTGAACTTTTTCCCCAGGAGGATGCTACAGAGCAGGAGCTCCTGATGAGGAAACCGCGCATCTAGCATTCCTGGGATAGCAGGGTGGGGGTGGAAGTACACGAAGAGCATGTAGCTCTCTGTGCCTCAGTGGCTGAGGTCACACAGGTTCTGGGAGATTTCTCTAGAAGGAAGGAGTAGGAGGGAAGGTGGCTCCTGGCACCCACCCATGGCTGCTGGCACTGGCCAAGTGCCTCCAGGCCATGGTTCTCCAGTGCCCTCTGGGGGCAGAGTCCACGCCATGCCTGCCCTTCCAAACATCAGGGTTGGGGTTTTAAGTTAATTAGCCTGGAAAGACATTTTCTGGACAGCCTTGTCTCTGAAATACTTTGTTTTAAATGTCAAAAGGATTTAAATGCACTATAGAATGTCTGGGTAATAAAGTTGTCCAGAAGGAGACAGGGCCTCTGGAAGAGGTACACCGCTGGGGCCCAGGAATAACTGTGGGCCTCTGTCACCTTGTCACTTTGAGTTTCCCATGTGGGCTCCCCTGCCATTTCTTCCCCTGCATCTACCCCTGTGTCCAGCAGAGGCAAAGGACAAAGGGTCTGTCTGAGAACAGGGTGGGCCTCACTGTCTGCTTTCTCCAAAACAAGCTGCAGAAGTCATGATGTCTGGGCGAGTGTGTGGGGCTTTTTAAGAAGAAAAGATTCCTAAGTGGGAGGATAAGGAGAGGGGCAGCAGGATGGAGAAGACAGTGAGTGGGAAAAGCGTGGGCTTTGGGGCCAGATGACACCCAGTTCTATTCCTGGGGCCACCCAGGACCAGCTGTGCTGTCGCTGTGGGAATGTGATGAGGGCTTCCTCACTGGGACGTGAGGATGGCATGGGCTGTCTGTGAATGCCGAGCCCCTCGATGACGAAGCTAATCCTGCAGTGACCTCTACATCAATCGGCTCAGACCTCACCCTTCCCACGATTACTATCATCTGAAACTCTGGCCCCAGTGATCCCGGCAGACCTGGAACATGCGTCTGCAGGCGATCTGAAGTCTCTGGCCCTGTGACCCCGGCAGACCTGGAACATGCATCTGCAGGCGATCTGAAGTCTCTGGCCCTGTCATCACAGACATGTACTCTGTGTGCTCCTCTTTGCAACACAGTGACCTTCAGAGGGACCAGGCCAATGTCGTCCTTGGCATCTGCCTCTAAGATTCAGGGGCAGGTGAGGAGCATGTGTCATGAGAGGTTAACCAAGGTGAGTGAAGCAAAGCCTCAGAAGATGGGTGCAGCGGAAGGCATCCCACAGAGAGGGTAGAAGGATGACAAACCAGGAACTGTGGAAGTCACTGCTGCCACGTATTTCCAGATGCCTCACATGTGGGCACAGGGGAGGTCCACGCCCTGCCCCTTGGGGCTCTGGAGGCCACAGGCTGGTTCTGGGCACTGAGTTGGGTACAGAGGGGACACGTCTTAGGAACTGAGCACCTGATTTTCAGTCCAGTTTCCTCTCTGTCCCCTTCCCTTGCACAGCATCCAGCAACGGCTCAAGGCAGTGCCTTCTCCGTCAGCCTGGGCCCTTAGCTGTCCACCACCACGGGTCACCATGGACATGCAGCGTGCACAGGAAAATGATGTTTGCTCTTTAAAATCAAGAATGGATGGAAGCTGATTGTCATCGCAGCATTGCCAGTCCACCCTGACCGACACCCTTCCTATGATCCTGGCATTATGCAACCTCCCTGGAATGAACTTGCAGCTTCAGAGAAAGGTGGGACCCAGAATTAACTAAGATTCCGTTTTGCTCCTGAGGAATAGGAGCTCACAAAAGAAACCAAGTTGCAATAAAGAAAAAAAAAGAGTTACACTTCCTTCACCTCTGAGTTAGTAATCAGAGTTTCCTGTCTGCCTCAGTGATGTGTAAACTCTCCAATGCTTGTCCCTCTGCTCTCCTGGATTCCTTGTGGGCTCCCCGAGGACAGAGGTTATCTGTCCCTCCCTTCATAGTTCCTAGCACAAATCTGGCAGTCAACAACACCGCAAGGTAAGGTGTGGATGTGATGCCTCCCCACCTGCCCCGCCAGCTTCAGAACAGTCTCTGGGTTTCCAGAAAATAGTATTGCTTGAGAACTACAGTAAGTCCAGGGTGAAATCTGCAGGAAGAAGCCACTCTCCCAGGGGCTCCCCCACAATGCTCTGGGTGGGCCTCCAGCTCCTTAATTAAAAACTGAAGGTTGAGAAAGCCCAACTGCCTTCAGACTCCGCAACTTTGGCTCATAGCCAGCTCCACCCCATTTGGAATGAAAGACACAGTTCCTGAGCTCCTGATGAAATTAATTAAGGGAAAGCTGACAGGGAGATAGATGGAGGTTGCAGGACTCACAGAACCAGCCAGCGCTCCATTTGCAGAGAGCTGTGTCAGGGGCTACAAGCTCAGTCTCCTACTGGGGCCGCGTGGGTAGCAGAAACCACAGCTCCAGCCACTGTTGTCAAGGAGGAATACAGACTCAGGGTGCTAGTAGATCTCCTCATTTTTCAAAAGAACTTCGCAAGCTCGTGTAAAATCCCTCAATCTGAAAACGTCGGCAAACAATTCATTTTTTCTCTCCAGCATTGTGCAGAGCAAATCAAATGTCCTTCCAGGCTGGGTTGGTTTGGCTTGGACTCACTTTTCATGCACACCCCAACCCCATCCTATCAGTAACACAGACAGCTCCACTCAGTAGATTCCTCTCACTCTAGCAACAAATCCTACAGACACTTTTTGTTTGCCCCAACTGTCTTTGCTATGGCTTATGGAGAGCGGGTGTGTGTGCATGCACACATGCACATATGCCTCTAAATTACACGACTGTATCCACAAAGAAACTACAGTAAACTATATATGGCTGGCCACATACCCTCTAAACCCTCCCTCATGAGATCAGAAACTGTCGGAGGAAGCAACTCTCTGGGGCATCACGGAGACCGGAAGAAGCAGGTCACGTGTGACCTGGAGGGAGGGCAGAGGCCACTGGCCTCAGGACTAGCGTGGGAAAAGCATCCACCTGATGATGCAGCGTGAGCAGCGAGGTGACACACGGGATGTCGTGATGACCGGGGAGATCCCTGCGTGGCCAGCAGCGTCTGGAGGTGGCTGCCCATGTGCCCTCTTCCGTCTCCCCAGGGAGCCACGAGGGGGGCACAGTTCACCTCCACTTAATCCTCAAATAAATTACATTTGCCAACTCAAAGCACAAAGTAAGCTTGTTTGCCTGCTACTTGCATAATGAGGACTGTGAAAATTAAATGTATTTGAACCAAGTAGCAGGTGCCTCATGTCTGGTCAGTGTTTCACAACCATTGCCAGAAACGCACAGCCTGGCCCAGTGCCTCTGTGCTCACTGGGACTCCCTGTGATGGGCAAGGGCAAAGCTCAGAAAGAAGCCCCGTCACTTGGGAGCTGACTTCCAGAAGGACAGCACAAGTCTCTCAGTAGACCCTCCCCAGTGAGACAGCTATCACTGAAAAAGAAACAGTTTTCTAAAACATAATCATGTAAAGTCTCTGTACATTTTCCTAAGGGTATACAGTAAATTAGGAAAAATTTGCTCAAGAAAATCTACTAAATCTTGTTAAGAAGACTGAGTCTGTGGCACTTCAGCCAAAACCTGCTTCCCTGCCCAGCTCGGAGTGAGACAGGCTCCACTCCAAGTAGGTGTGAGCAAGAAGACAGGGCTCTGCTCCCTCCAGCTCCCAATCCAGGGCTGCCGCACCTCCCCAGGCTGGGGGAGGCGGGCAAGGCTGCCTGCATGTCTCGTTTCCCCCAGCTGTGCAATAGAAGCTCTACTCCAGGCAAAAGCAGCTGAGAGGCTGGGACTCCCTTCCTCCTCCAACTCACAGTATCCAGGGCCTGTCCAGGTGTGGCAGCTCAGAACACTGGGGCCTCACTGCCCTCATCTCTGCTGACTCATAGGGCAGGGGTTCTGCACTGGGAGAGACAAGCTCTGAAGATTTGAAGCTACTTCCCCCACCCAGTGCCCTGCATGAGAGGCAAACATGTCACTCCACAAGAAGTGAGCCACTGTCTCTGCCCCCAACTCCAGAGCAGTGCCTCAGGAATTTTTCCCAGGAAAGCAAGCTACCCATTAGAATACAGAACTCCAAAGTGCTCCCCAAGGGAACTGATTTGAAACAGAGTGGAGAAGTTCAAGCCTAAGGGTAGTCTGGGAAAGAACGGAGCCTTTGCAGTAGGGAATGAAGAGGAGGCTGGTGGCTCCATGACAGCACCGGGATAAACTGGATTCCAGCTGGTTTGCCGAAGAGAGCCAGGGAAGAGACAGCTAAGGAGAGCCTTCCTGGGGTCAGAACAGACCTCAAGACTGGCCTCAAAAACACCCCTACAAAGGGGCCTGGATTTAATTAGATAAAGCTGTGGAGCAGCGTGTGCCCCAAGCTACTGTTGGAAACAGAGTCGTAGGCTGGCAATTAGTGGAACCTAACAGGTGGTGTCGGAGAGGCCACGGAAAGGGGCCAACAGAGCCCTGCTAACCGCGGTCACCCGCCTGCACACGCCTAAGACTGCCCTCTGGGGCCTGAGGTCAGCAGACTCAAGGGAGGCGGACTTTGCTAAGTAGTCCAGCCAAGGTACTAACCATACACACAAGCAAGCAAGGAAGGAATCAGTATCATGGTGGCTACAGTGTATCATCTAAGACAGTGAGTCTTCAACAAAACACTACCGGATACACAAAGGAACCAGGGAGTGTGACACATGGGAAAAAACAGGCAACAGAAACTGCCAGTGAAAAGGCTCAGTTGTCATATTCAACAACAACAAAAAAGACTTCAAAGCAATCATTACAAATATGTTCAAAGAACTAAAGGGAACTATCATTGAAAAGGTAAAAGGGTAATGCATAATGACCATGTCTCATCAAATACAGAATAGCAATAAAGAGATCAAATTTAAAAAAAAAAGTTGAAAAGCGTAATAACTGAATTTTTAAAAATCCACCAGGGGGGTTCCAAAATAGATCCAAACTGTCAGAAGAATCAGTGAACTTGAAGAGATGGAGAAAGATTATGCAATTTGAAGAACAAAGAGAAAAAAGACTGAAGAAAAATCAATAGAGCCTCAGAGAAATGTGGAACACCATTAAGCACCAACCTATTCATAAGGGGAATATTAGAAAGAGAGGAGAGGGAGAAAGGAACGTAAAAAGTACTTCAATAAATAACGGCTGAAATTTTCCAAATTTGATGAAAAGTATTAATCTACAGATCTAAGAAGCTCAATAAACACCAAAAAGTGGGCCAGGCATAGTGGCTCATGCCTATAATCCCAGCCCTTTGGGAGGCTGAAGTGGGCGGATTGCTTGTATCCAAAAGTTTAGGACCAGCCTGGGCAACATGGAGAAACTCTTGTTTCTACAAAAATACAAAAATTAGCCAGGCATCATGGCTTGTACCTGTGAGCCCAGCTACTCAAGAGGGTGAAGTGGAAGCATTGCTTGAGCCCGGGAGGTGGAGGTTGCAGTGAGCCGAGATGGTGCCACTGCACTCCACCCTGGGTGACTGAGACCCTGTCTCAAAAAGAAAAAAAAGGTAAACACAATGAGATATACCCCAGACACATCAGAGCTAAAGTGCTGAGAGACAAATACAAAGTCTTGAAAGAATCAAAAGAAAAATAATTCTTCAAATACAAGGGGCCCCAGTAAAATTAGGTTCTGACTTATTATGAGAAACAATAGAGTCAGAAGGCAGTAAGGTGACATAATCAAAGAACTAAAAGCAAAAAAGAATCTTAAATCTAGAAAAACCATTTTTAAAAATGAAGGTGAAATAAAGACATTTCCAGATAAACAGCAACTGAATCTGTCGCTAGCATACATGACTTACAAGAAATAACAAAGAAAGTTCTCCGGGCTGAAAGCAAATGACCCCAAAAAGTCATCTCAACACACACAGAAACATATATACACACAGCAAGCAACAATGCCAGATGGTAAGTCAAATTCACAGGAAAAGAGAATGAGAACCAGAAATAGTAAATAACGAGGTTAACCTAACAAACTCTAAATAGGTACTTGCTCTCCTTTTTAATCTTGGCTTCTTTAAAAAACATGAGATTAAAGTAATGGTTATATAGATTTGAATATTCTAAGAGGAACACAGTAAGCATTAGGTCAATCATTAAGAAAATAACCAAAAAAGTAAAAAAAAAAAAAAAATTAAGAGAATTAAAAGTGTTACACCAGGAAATATTCACTTAATTCAAAAGAAAGAAGGAAGACCAGAGAAACAAAACAGATAGTAGACATACAGAAAACAAGGAGAAAAACTGTTGATACAAATCCACCATATCTATCATAACATTACAGGTGAAAACATTAAATGACCCAGCCAAAAGGCAGACATTGCCAGACAATTGTAAAAATCCAGTTGTATTCTGTTTACAGGAGACACACCTTAGATTCAAAGATACAAACGAGTGGAAAGCAAAAGGATGGAAAATATGTCTACTCTGCAAACAGCGACTGCAAGCGAGCTGGAGTGGCTCCACTAATCATATGGGACAAACAGACTTTAAGACAAAAACTAATACTAGAGATGAAGAGACACGTTATAAATATAAAAGGGTCAATTCATCAGAAAGATGTAAGTATAAACATATGTGTACCTAAAAACAGAACCCCAAGCGACAGGAAACAGAACCAACAAACGGAAGGGAGAAACAGACAATACAACTTCAGTAACAGAAAACTAGAAAAAAGATCGACGAGGAAACAGAAGACTTGAACAACACTATAAACCAACTTAGGCCTAGCAGATATCTGCAGACCACTCCATCCAACAGCAGGATACACATTCTTCTCAAAGGCATTGGGAACACTTTCCGGGATAGACAGTTACAAAGGCATAAAACAAACCTTAATATATTTAAAAAGACCGAAATCATACGAAATGTTGTGTTTCCACAATGAAATAAAATTAGACACCAATAGTAGAAAAAAGTGAGAAACTCATGAATATGTAGAAATAAAACAACACAATTAATCAATGGGTCAAATAAAAATCAAAACCTAAATTTGAAAATAATTTGAGACAATTTAAAATGAAGACACAAAACATACAGGATGCAGCTAAAGCAGTGGGTAGAGGGAAATCTGTAACTATACATGCCTATATTAAAGAAGATCTCAACTCAGTAACCTCAACTTTCACTTCAACACACTGGAAAAGAAGAAACTAAAGCTAAAATACACAGAAGAAAGGAAGTAAGACTAAAACAGAAATTAAAGAAATACACAACAGAAAAACATAAAAGAAAATCAATAAAAGCAAAAGTTAGTTCTTTGAAAAGATCACCAGAAGTGATAAATCAAGTCAGGAATGTTGGAAGTATTTCCAAATGATGTGGAATTTTTGCCTTTGATTAGTCAGTGGATTCTCCCTCCTACCTGGGTCTGTAGGAAGCACCAAGAAGGATAATCCGAAGATGAAAGCACATCTTTCCCTATCCCATTTTATCAAACCCCATCCCCACCTCTCCCCATCCCCACCTGGCCCTCTGTCCCCACTTCCACCTGTCTCATCCTGTCCTACCGGCCCCACCCCCACCCATCCCTCCTGCCCCGCGATCCCAGCTGCCCTGCCCCACCTACCCCATCCCATCCCATAGTAGTAACGGTGCTTGCTGTCCTCCGACCCGAAGACCTTGATCACCATGCTGTAGAGATGCAGCCCCTCCACCAGCATCCATGCGAAGGCACTCAGGAAGAAGTAGTGCAGAAGCACCGCCATCACCCGGCAGGGAGTCTAGGATTAACCAGAGGTGGGAGGTGAGACAGCCGTGGGGCGGACCATGGGCGTGGCTTTGGTCCCAGCCACCCAGTATCCGTGTCCTGAGTCTTCTGGTCACGTGACCATGTTTCTTCCCATGATCTCTTCCTGTTGGTCAGGCCCAGGGATTTGGGTGCAGCACGTGACTCAGGACTAGCCAATCACAGCACCATGTTGTCCCCAGGGATGGTGATTGGTTCAAGAGAGGGCACAGGACTCAGGCCCAACCAATCAGCAAACTATCTATTCCTTACAACAGGATTGGCTCAGGGGTGAGCACATGACTCACCTGGTCCAATCAGGGTAGATTCTGTGGTTAAGGAGGGGGCTATGGAAGAGTTTCCCTCTCTTCATATGAGGACTGGAGCACAGAACTTTGGAAGCCACGTGACTCCCAGAGAGGTGTAGAGTCTGCCCCATGTGGCTGAGCATTAGATGGTGGGACTTTTTTAGTTCTAACTAGACTGCGGCTTCCAAGCTGTAGTTACCGAGAACTGAAAGGGGCTGGGGCAACCCTGCTGCTCCACAGGCCTCCCTTCTCAATAGGGCTCAGGGACAGAGAGCAGGGCCGTGGGAGCCTCTCCACTCCTCACCTGTGGCCTGCAGGCCCCAGGTACCCAGGATGGAGAGAGGTGGGCCCTGCACAGCGCAGCCTCAGATCCTCCTGGGGCTCCACCCCTCTGCTCCCTGTGAGTCCAGGTGCTGGGAACACCCCGGGCATGTCTGTTAACTCTAGATAAAAGGTCCAGGGAACTGGAGCCCAGGAAGGAACCACGCACCTGTGCTGAGGAACATGGGAGCCAGGATGAATGTCCAAGCAGAGGGCTGAGGTGTCCCCAGGCCTGTGGCCATCTCCTTTTGCCTGGCTCGCGTTCCACCAGAATTCCTGTGCCTGGGTTGTGGGCACAGGAATTCTGGTGGAACCCGGAACAACCCAGCTCTGCTGGTGCTCCAAGTTCTGTCCTTCAGATGTGCCCAAGTCAGTTAGTTCTCAGAGAAGGAATGTACAAGCCACTAAATGTGTTTCTTGTCATCACAATCTGTTATATCTCGATACAAAATAAGATACACCTATTATTTTTGTTGGCTCAGCAACCCCTGGCCATGTGTACTCCAGGACCAGCTGCCCCTTTACCTTGGAGAGCAGCCCCTCCCTACCCCAGAGGCTCTGGTGGGACCAACCATTACAATCATCGTCTCCCATCTGCCACAAAGGTTTACCCTATAAGCATATCACTCAGAACCCAACCAGAGCCCTTTTCTGGGATTTAGACACAAGTCTCTGGGAGAGAGGAAGCAATCATAGCCATTCTCTGGGATTTAGACACAGGTCTCTGGGAGACAGGGACCAATCATAGCTCTTCTCTGGGATTTAAACACAGGTCTCTGGGAGAGTGGGACCAATCAGAGCCCTGCCCTGGGATTTAGACACAGGGTTCTGGAGGAAAGATGCACTCCCAGGCTCCTGGGGCCACCAGCTGGGATTATGAACACCTGGAGCTGCTGCAGACCTGCCTCTCCTCCTGCTGCCAGCATGCAGTGGGACCTCACCGCCAGTGTGGACTTGGACAGGCAGCGTCAGTATCCTGGGACCCACCCAGAGCTCCTGAACCAAAATCTGCAGTGTAAGGAATCCCTGGTGATGGTTCATACCAGAGCCTGAGAAGCATCCAGCAGGACAGCATGAGGCCAGTGCACACCCCGCCCATTCCACGGTGCATCCAGGAACTTCTTGGATGCTCCCCAGTCTGAGGTGGGGTGCCCTGTGAGGGAGGTGCCTGCTGCCAGAGGAAGGTGGGTCTGTCCGTAGGCAGTAGCCCCAGGACATGCATGGGGACAAAGGGCTCTGCTGGACAGTGAGGAGGAGAGGCTCTGCTGACCCGCTAGGCAAGGGATAAAGCATTCATCTTCTGTTGGCCAGTCCTGACTGTGCCCTGAGATCACAGGCTTATCCTGCCGGGTTCTTAAGGGCTTCTGCCAGAACCAACTATCTTTTCCCTCCCAGACATGGAGTGGGAAAGCCCTGTTTTCTCTTTCATCAGCTGGCTTACAAGCCCACATCACCCTGCTGCTGGGTCACTCTAGAGAACCCCCGCTCTTTGCCTTCTGTGAGGTCTAAGGCTTCCTAGGGGCCCAGAGAACCGCCATTCCATGTAAAGGGCAGGTAAAGGTGGCATCTAGGTCTGCAAGTCCACTTTGCTGAGCAAAGGTGGCACAGCTGTTTGCTGCCGAGCACCTGATGAAGAGCACAGTCTGCAGTTGACAACAAGAGCCCAGGTCTGCCCACAGCAGGCTGTCAGCTCGGCCACGGCCTGTAAGCCCTATGCCCACGCGCCTCTATCTGCAGGTGGGGAGGAAGACAGGCTGGTGAGAGGGTGATATGGCTTCCCAAATGCAAGGCTTTGTCAGGGTGCATTGCACGTAGCTGGTGCTAAGCAGTGTGAATGGGTGGCAGCGGTGGCAGCTTTACCCCCGAGGCTGACGTGCCACACAGGAACAAGCTCGTGCACGTCATGGTCTCTGCTTCCCCTAAAAATCACATCCCTGGCTGTCTGGGGAGCTAGGGTCTGAATTTTGAGTGGAAAAAGCTAGCTAGCAGGAGAAGGTGCCACCCGGTGACAACCGAGGAGGCAGGGGAGGGACAGCGCAGGAACAAGGAGCTGCATCCACTCACTGTGCCCGGCTCGAGCTGGAAGCTGATGAGCAGCAGGACCTGGGCCACCAGCACCGCGAAGGACAGGTTGGCGTGGATGTGGTAGCGCTGGTTCCTGATGGTGCTCACGGAGCTGAGGACAGAGACAGGGTGTGAGGCTGGGCCCTGCGCTGACCCCGTCCCCCAGACTGGGCTCCCTGCCCCTGCAAAGTCTTTGCATCCATTCCTCCAAGAGCAGCCGGAGGAGTTGCTGTCACTGCCTGTTGTGGACCTTCAATGGCTCCCTGTTGCTCTTGGATCTGATCCCAGCTCCTTCCATGCCTACCCAGCCCTATACAGTCTGACCCTGGGCCTTGGCAGCTTAGCTAAGCCTGGCGCCCCCACCTCCACAGCCCCTCCCCTCTTCCGTCTCTTCCATCTTGCGATCTGGGGTGCAGGCAGGGGCTGAGGGGCTGCTGGACGGATCAGAGAAGGGAACTCACGACAGCACGGCAAAGGTGACCAGCGTGGCCACCAGGCAGAGCACGGACAAGGAGCAGCCCACGTAGCTGATGGACGACAGCGCCACCTGGTGTCCACGTGCAAGCTGCAGGGAACGAAGCAGAGGCGTCAGCAGGGGCCCAGCCACTCCGTCAGAACCTGAGGCTGCAGAGGGCCCGGGCAGGTGCACGGCTGGTCCCCTTTGGACATGGTGCTGAGCACCAAGCCCTGTCGCTCAGCCCAAATGTCCGCTGCTGCCACGGACAGAGGCCAGCGCTGGGGTTGCAGCCCTGGCTGTGCACGCGTCCAGTGCCTGAGGGTCCCTATAGATCACTCAGCTCCCTCAGCCATGGTCTCTAGGCGCTGAGCCTCCTGCCTACATGCAACACACAGGGCTGCAGAAGGAGAGTCAGCCCTGGAGCCAGACCTCCCAGGTTCAAGTCCCAGCTGGGCCACATCCTGGATGACCATCTGCGACACGTGACACTCGGCTGTGAAATGAAAACAATGACGCCTCTCCACTCCCACAGTGGCCGCAAGGACTCCATGAATTTGCAAACATAAAGTGCTGGAGCAGCTAGGGAGGAGCTGGCTACCGCTCCTGCCCAAGGCCGCCCCCCACGGTCCCCGCACAGCAGCTCCTGCCCAAGGCCGCCCCCCACGGTCCCCGCACAGCAGCTCCTGTCCAAGGCCGCCCCCCACGGTCCCCGCACAGCAGCTCCTGCCCAAGGCCGCCCCCCACGGTCCCCTCACAGCAGCTCCTGCCCAAGGCCGCCCCCCACGGTCCCCTCACAGCAGCTCCTGCCCAAGGCCGCCCCCTACGGTCCCCGCACAGCAGCTCCTGCCCAAGGCCGCCCCCCACGGTCCCCGCACAGCAGCTGCTGCGTGCACACTGTGGCCTCAGGAAAGCCCTCTAAATGGACATGGTTGGTGACACCAGCACCCATGTCTGCTGGGTCCCAATACCTTGTGGGAATGAGGCAGAGAACACACCTGGGGATTACGCGGGTGCAGAGCCACTAAGGATGGGACTGAAGCCACCGTTCACCCACCGCACAATCCAGCCGGCGCTCCCTCAGCTCTGGATTCGGGGACTCAAGCTCAGACACACGTGACCCTGGGCTCCAGGAGGCTCAAAGCTCCTAAGCCACAGGCTTGGAAAGAGCCTCCCAGCTGCTCAAGTGCAGGAGGCCGCCACGTGCTTCCTCCTGTGTCCGTGGCTCTTGTCAGAGGCCCAGCTAAAGCCTGAAGCCAGCATCATGCTGTCCTCATCTGGCACAGAGACCCTAGACCCATGTCCCCCCAACCTCCGAGACCACTGCCTCTAGCTTCCTCCTGTGGCACGGGGGTAAGGGGAGCCTAAATGGCTTCTCCCTGATCACCAGGGCAAAGGAGGTCACTCTGAGTGCGTAAGGAGCTATTGGCAATGGCGGAGGAGACGCTGCAGGCCCAGGAGGCCCGGCTCAGGGCGAGGCAGGCAGTGCATTGGACCACAGGAGGCAGCCTGGACTAGGGGGCCGAGGGAGGCAGGAACACTCAGTGGGCACTGCCTTCAGCTGTGATTCACAGTGGCGTGAGCTTACGCCTGGGGGGCTACAGACGTGCTAGGTTCCTGGCTGCGTGGTGCTGGGATGGGGGCAGCCTGGATCCCGCAGCCTGTGCCTCCCCCTCTAGCAGGAGCTCATTGTCACCCTGCAGACCCTGCTATCCTCTCCAGGGTCCAGGGCTTGCGGGAGGCAGGGCCTCGGCCTGGCCCTCATCAGGAGTGAAACAGCTGCTGCCATGACACTGGCAGCGCTTCCCCTGGAGGGGCTCTCTGCTCTCGGGCTCAGGGACGAGGCGGAGAGGCTGAGGGCTGGGCAGAGCCATCTCTGCTGAACGCTGGCTCAGGCCTTGGCAGCCAAAGACTGATGCATAAGCTCAGATTTCCCTGGGGCTGGATGTCCCTCTTCATGGACATCATGGCTATCACGGGAAAGGTGGGCACTGTGTGACCAGGACCAGAGAGACAGAAAAGTCCCCTTTTCAGGTTCACAACACCCCAGAGAGAGAGGAGACGGGCAGTCACAGGGGAGCCCACCAGCGTCCCTAAGGATGAGGGGACTTTGAAGGAATGGCCCCCCGGCCCCTTGGGAGAATGGCTGCAGTTTCTTGTTCGTGTTCTGGTTATTAGAGCATCATCCAGTTAGAGGTAGGAGACCCCACTGTTCCTTCTCCCACGGATACAACTTTCTCCTTCAATTCCTGGGCCTGGCCTCCTGGATCTGAGAAGACCGTCAGGCCGCCAACCTCTGTACCCTGGGAATCACACCCATGCCTGCAGGCTTCCCTGCAGCAGGCACCGCGACATCCCGGGTGTGCGCCTCTGTCTCGGCTTCCTCCGACCCTCAAGGGCTCTCCTGCACCGGGCCTGAGGAGCTCAGGGTGGAGACTGCGGTGAACTCGCACCGACTGCCCAGAGCTCACTCCCGCTCCCTGTCTGGTAACACCCTGGGCACCTGGAACGCTACGTGTGAACGGGGGCCTCCCCGGGGCCTGAGGCTGCCCAGTGCTGCCCCTCTCTGCTCCACCAGGTGGGAGCTGAGGTCACAGGTGTCTTCTGCCAGCAGAAGGGGTCCTGTGCGAGGCGAAGGTGCTCATCAGTCACCTCCCGAGCATGTTTGGCAAAACAAGTTCCTCAAAAGGCGGGCGCTGCCGTGCATTCCCATAACGGAAACAACCGTCTCCATCTGCAGCTGGACAGGCCAAGAGCTACTCCGATTAATCGCGTAGCCCCAGCAGGCGACGGAACTAAGTTCCAGGCCACATTCCCCGCACTCGCTGTGTGACACTCCAGTTCTTGCATGACATTGTTAGTAAATCTTCTAAGAAATGATGTTTCTGGTTTCAGGTAAGTTCGAGAAAAGCTCCTTTCTCTGCACCCCTTAAAAGACTTTTTGGATGAATATAAAGCTGTTTTAACAGTTCTGAGGATTCTGCAGGTTAAAAAAAACCACCCTGTTTAGCTATGTTTAACTTGGCATTTCTTAAACTCTTTGGAGGAGGAAGGAAAAGGACCCAATGACAACAGCAGAGCTGTGGTTTAAGAGGTGCTATTTTAGAGGAAGTGAGATTTTTCAGAAACTAAGAATAAAACCAAATAAACTGAGAATAAAACCAAATACAGGAAACGTTGACATCATACTGGATGTGCAATCTTTCTTTGCTGTCTCTAACACAATTGAAAAGTCTTGTTGTCTCTCACACTGATCTCTGCCTAGAGATGGAAGGAAGGGTCAGTTACAAGAGTTTTGGGCCTCAGCAGAGGGAATGGTTCTTGAAAACGAATGTCCAGCTCTGCAGCAGGAACCAAACTGAATTCAGTTAAAAACCAACCTCCGTTGGCTGGTGCAGTGGCTCACGTGTGTAATCCCAGCACTTTGGAAGGCCGAGGTGAGCCGATTACCTGAAGTCAGGAGTTCAAGACCAGCCTGGCCAACATGGTGAAACCCCGTCTCTAGTAAAAATACAAAAATTTGCCAGGTGTGGCGGCGCACACCTGTAGTCCCAGCTACTCGGGAGGCTGAGGCAGGAGAATCGCTTGAACCTGGAAGGCAGAGGTTGCAGTGAGCTGAGATCATGCCACTGCACTCCAGCCTGGGCAACAGAGCCAGACTCCATCTCAAAACAAACAAACAAACAAACAAACAAACAAAACAATCAATGGAAACACTGCTAGGGAAGGAAAGCAGTGGTGCCCAAAAGCCTGCCTGGCCCACTGCCCTGGGAAGCCCCCCAAGGGATGCACCCCACACAGGCCTCTGCCCCATGAGGCCCTGGCTCCTCCCCACCCCGATCTTCTCTGCACTACCCCAGTCACCTCACATCCCACGAGAGGGATGCATACCACTCTTGGATGCCACGGCTGCATTTCATGGGGCATCATCTCTCCTCCAGGGATGTGGCAAGCCCCGAGGGTGCAGTCCCCTTAGGGTAGTCTTCCTACCTCGTCACCCACAGCTCTGAGAACAGCAGTGAGCACTCCTGGGTGCAATGGTAACCAGAGGGGTTTGCTGAAGGCATCAGGGAGGCAGAGCCCTTACAACTACCCATCTGACTCTGCCACTGATTCAACAGAGAGACTTCCCACATCTCTATCACTGATTAACTTCTTTTAAATGGAGAAAATAAAGCTTTGCCTCATCTATTTGCAGCTGTAGCAAGGTGCCAGTGGGCAGTATGCCCGCTCGCTGCACACTGGGCTGCAGTTAGTCAGCCAACTCTCAAAACATCTTAATCTCCATTCTGGGCCACCCATTCTACTGGGGGTTTCTGACCAATGGGAGCCTGTCCCTAGCCCCAGACCCGCACCTGCCCATTTATGCCTTAGATCTTCGAACCATATTATCAATCAACCTTATCGTCAACTAGCCACACCCATCATCAACCAATCCACCATCAACCAACCCATCTTCAATCAACCCACCATCAAGCAATCCATCATCAATCAACCTTACCATTAACTAAGCCTGCCATCAGCCAACATTATATTCAAGCAGCACACCATCAGCCATCTATCAACCAGCTCCACCATCAACCAAACCGACTGTGAACTGCCCTTACCATAACCAACCCATCATTAACCAATCTACCAGCCAACTCCACCATCAGCCAAACCCACCATCAATCAACCTTACCTTCAAGTAATCCACTATCAACCAACTCTACCATCAATAGACCCATCATCAACCAAACTCATCATAAACTGACCTTCAGCCAACCCACTATCAACTAACCTGATCACTAACCAACCCATTAACCAAATGCATCATAAACCAACCTATCAACCAACCTGATTATCAATCAAACCCATCATCAACCAACCCTACCTTCAGCCAACCCTATCCTCAACCAACCTACCATCAACCAACCCCACCATGAACCAATCCCATCATCAATCAAGTCTCTTTATCACACACTTTTATCAACCCCACCCAAAGCCAGCATCATGCCAGGCACCATGCAGAACACTGAAAGGAAGGGCATATGGCTCCTCCCTTGAACAGAGCTAAGAGCCTAACCAGGCAATTTTGAAATGAGTTTAAGTAACATAAGGCCAGATATATT